GGAGGCGGTGAGTGGCCCTGCAGGCAGGTGGGGCGGGGGGCAGGGGGTAGAGCAGGGGCGGGGCCAGTTTTTGGGCGCTCGGTTTCTGAAAGGTTCGCCATCACTGACCTAGAACTATGGAGAAACATCCTGACAGTTAGAACAATTAACCAGTGGAACGACTTGCCTCCAGAAGCGGTGAATGCTCCAACACTGGACGTTTTTAAGAAGACACTGGACAGCCATTTGTCGGAAATGGTATAGGGTTTCCTGCCTGAGCAGAGGGTTGGACTAGATGACCTCCAAGGCCCTGGAGGCGGTGAGTGGCCCTGCAGGCAGGTGGGGCGGGGGGCAGGGGGTAGAGCAGGGGCAGGGCCAGTTTTTGGGCGCTCGGTTTCTGAAAGGTTCGCCATCACTGGCCTAGAACTATGGAGAAACATCCTGACAGTTAGAACAATTAACCAGTGGAACGACTTGCCTCCAGAAGCGGTGAATGCTCCAACACTGGAAGTTTTTAAGAAGAGACTGGACAGCCATTTGTCGGAAATGGTATAGGGTTTCCTGCCTGAGCAGAGGGTTGGACTAGATGACCTCCAAGGTCCCTTCCAACTTTATTACTACTACTACTACTACTACTACTACTACTACTACTACTACTACTACTATTATTATTATTATTATTATTATTATTATTATTATTATTATTATTATTATTTTCCAGAGCTTGGGGCAGGAACTTAGCAGGATAGGCTGTAGGCTTCCTTTTTCAGAGGTTTTACCAGTGTATAAGGAGCAAAATTGAAAAAGCCAGCATATAGCAGAATTCAATATGTGGCTAAAGGAGTGGTGTAAAGGGGAAGGCTTTGGTTATATTAGTCACGATGTCTGTAGCTGGTCCAATGAAGAAATGTACAAAAGAGATGGTTTGCATCCATCCAAGAAAGGGACTGAGTTACTTAATTCACAAATATTCTGGAGGAATATTTAAACTAAACAACGGGGACAGTGAGTTAATTGATACAGAACATCCCTATCCCCGGCAATCTAAAAATTATAGGGCTACCAGTGCATGTAACATAGATGTGTGTGTGGACAAGAATATCAACCTTGCTGTCAAGCAAAATCAAGCTTTTAATAGTGAGTGCCACACAAAGTGCACTAACCAAATAGGTGGTAAGAAAATAGGGGAACTCAGGCACCACACAGGTTATGTAGAAAGTAAACACAGGATCAGTCATAAAGGACTCAAATGTCTATACACCAATGCACAGAGTATGAAAAGTAAACAGGGTGAACTAGAAATTCAGGTAAAGGAGGGCAGATATGATATTGTTGCCATTACGGAAACATGGTGGGATGAAACCACAAATGGAACACACAGCTAGAGGGATTTAAATTATTTAAAAGAAACAGACCAAACAAAAGAGGAGGTGGAGTTGCTCTCTATATAAGAAATAACTACATCTCTACAGAAATAGAGCACAACAATGATGAAAACTGTCTTGAATGCATTTGGGTCAATATAAAAGGGGGGGGGGAATAACATTGCTATAGGTGTATACTACAGGCCACCCAACCAAACAGAGGAAATAGTTAAAACTTTTTGCTAGTCAGCTAACTAAGGTATGTAGGAAGCACATCACAATACTAACGGGGGACTTTAATTACCCTGACATCAACTGGGAGACAAACTCTGCACCAAGTGGAAGATCAAACAGATTCCTGACAAACCTAGCAGACAACTTTGTCTCCCAAAAAGTAGAGAAGGGAATTAGGGGATTAGCCATATTGGATCTAATCCTCACTAACAGAGATGAAATGATAGAAGGTGTTGAAGCCATAGGAACCTTGGGGGGAAGTGATCATACAATATTAGAATTCAACATTATGGAAGCACAAGCAATAGGACACAGTCAAACTAGAGTCTCTGACTATAAGAGAGCTAATTTCAATAAACTTAGAGAGAGCTTGGGTAGGATTCCATGGATGAGAATCTTCAAGGGAATAACAACTCAAGAAACTTGGGAAATTTCAAGCTTCCTGTGGCGAGGCGCCGCCGAAGGAGGCTTTTTTCTTAGCCTCCAGCCCGGGACTGCGTCAAAGCCGTCAAAACAGCGCGAATCAGGTGTTTTGCGGCTCGGAACTTTCTCCCCGGGCGAAGGGGAGAAAGTGAGTTTGGTTGGGATAGGGCAGTGATGGTGAACCTTTTACAGACCGAGTGCCCAAACTTCAANAGCTTCCTGTGGCGAGGCGCCGCCGAAGGAGGCTTTTTTCTTAGCCTCCAGCCCGGGACTGCGTCAAAGCCGTCAAAACAGCGCGAATCAGGTGTTTTGCGGCTCGGAACTTTCTCCCCGGGCGAAGGGGAGAAAGTGAGTTTGGTTGGGATAGGGCAGTGATGGTGAACCTTTTACAGACCGAGTGCCCAAACTTCAACCCAAAACCGACTTATGCATCGTTGAGTGCTGGGTGAGTGTGGCCCATTGGGTGGGCATGGCTGCAGTGGTAACGGCAGACTGGGTGGGACTAAAAAGTTCAATCAATCAATTTCAACTTTGCAAGATCTATTTTTTTCCCGTGAGAAGTTGAAATTGACTGATTGAACCTTTTTTTTTTTTTTGCACACAGCAGTGGAGGCCTAAAGCGAAAAGGTTTTATAAAACCCAGCTGAAGGCCTAGGACTGGGGCGACAGTGCGCGTGCCCACAGAAAGGGCTCTGAGTGCCGCCTCTGGC